ACTTTTATATGCACAAACATACATAAACCATTAATAAAAGTTTTTTTTTATATTAATATATATATATTTTTTTTTCATACATATATATATTCATATTAAAATACATGTAGAATGACATTATTTTATATATAAAATTTATAATTATATATATCTATATATATAAAATAAAAATAATCAACAAATACATTTAAAAAAAATTAATTATATACCAGTTTTAATTTGTTCTAAGTGTATTTTGATATTAATATACATATATAAAATTCAAAATACATTTAGAATGCCATTATAAATATATTTAAAAAAAAATATTTATATATACATATATATTTAACTTCTACAAATATATTTATATAATATTTTCACATAATCAATTCATTTTATTATTTACAATTTGAGGGACCTGCACAACAATTTGGCTTGCAAGCCCTATAGTTAACCCTATAGGACACCATAAAACCTGTACATGGGGGGTAACTGTTTTACTCGGGAGACTTTGCTGAACACAAATATTAGTGTTTAAAAACAGTAAAACATATCACAACAATGATATCGTCAGTAAAAATGCATTTTATTGCACTTTTCACACACAACTGTGCTTCCACTGACGATATCATTGTTGTGATACGTTTTTCTATTTTGAAACACTATATTTGTGTTCGGCGAAGTCTCCTGGGTATAACATTACCCCCCATGTACAGATTTTACGGATGTTTTTTAAAAGTTACTGAGTCAAATATAAGGCTTGAGTTTCCTTTTTTTTACATTGAATTGGTTAGTTGCTTTTGAGACCGTATGGTAGTCCAGGAATGAGAATTGCCAGCATGATGGCATACCATTTGCAAAAGTAGACAACCCAAGGTATTGCAAATGGGGTATGTCCTGTCTTTTTTAGTAGTCACTTAGTCACAAACACAAGCCAAAATTAGCGTTCAATTTAGTTTTTTGCATTTTTCACACACAAACAAATATGAAAGCTAACTTTGGCCAGTGTTTGTGACTAAGTGGCTACTAGAAAAGACTGGATATACCCCATTTGTAATACATTGGGTTGTCTACTTTTGCAAATGGTATGCCATCATGAGGGTAATTTTCATTGCTGGGCTACCATTTGGTCTCAAAGGCAACATAGCCAGTCTGGCAAATTTAAATGTGTATAAATGGAAAAATGTAATGTGCTATATTTCACCCTGTAACTTTCCAAAACACCATAAAACCTGTACATTGGGGGTACTGTTTTACCCGTGAGACATCGCTGAATACAAATATGTGTACTTTTTTTTGCAGTAACAGCAAACAGTATTGCGAAATTCACAGTTAAAATGCCATGCAGAACTAAAAAAATAACAACATTTCTTATTTTCTCACATTTTTAATATACAAATATTTGATGTGGTATGAAAGCCCTGTTTCAAAATGATATATGATAAGTGTGGGTACACATAACATGAAAGGGGTGAATTACGCTTAAACAGACATATCACTCAAAGTCAAGGTTTTGTTTATGTTTTGATTTGATCACAACTTGTACAATTGGCTTAGTCCTTAACCCCTTAACGCCGTTACGGCGTTCTATGCCGTCCCGCATTAAAAGGGCATTAAAGCTGTTGCGGCGGCATAGAACTCACCTCCGCCTCGATCCTCTTCTGGAGGGCTGCCTGACAGCCCAGGCAGCCCTCACCCATCAAATGAGGCCCCCGGGGGCCTTGTGATCGCTCTCAAAGAGCGAGCACGTGGCCCCCTATAGCTGGCTGTGGATCTGCCAGCAGGGGGACTGTCTAAAATATCAGACAGTCCCCCTGCTGGTAGGAAATGAAAAAAAAAAAAAGAAGAATTAAACATGTGTAAAATTAAAATAGAAATGTATTTTTATATATATATATATATATATATATATATATATATATATATATATATAATTTATGTATATTATATATATATATATATAAAACATCATACAAAGTGTATTTTAATATTAATATAAGTACATATATTAGTATTAGTATTAAAATACACTTAGAATGACATTACATATATATAATATATATATTATATATACACACATATTACATATATACGTATAATTACAATAATAAACAAAATAATTAAATAAATAAAATATTGAAACAAAATATAAATTATATAATCATATGTAATTTCATTCTAACTGTATTTTGTTATTTATATATATGTATATATATATATATATATATATATATATATATATACACACACATACATACACACACACACACACACACTGGTAACAAAATACACTTAGAATGACAATCTATATATAAAATACAAATAACCGCAAATATATATATAGATAAATACATATAATTACATAAAAGATTAGTATACATGTAGAATTTAAATACCTATAAATGCATATATATTAAAATTCTACATGTATTTAAGTAATCTTGAGTAATCTTTTAACATAATTATGTGATTTGATTAATTAAAATTTCATTGACATGACTGACAACACATGGAGAAAGTGCAGAGAATTTAATTCGCAAGCACTATATTTGACCCTGTAACTCTCCAAGACACCATAAAACCTGTACATAGGGGGTACTGTTTTACTAGGGAGACTTCGCTGAACTCAAATATTAGTGTTTCAAACTGGTAAATTGTATTACAACGATGATATTTTAAGTAAAAGTGACGTTTTTTGCATCTTTTACAAACGAACGGAACTTTTATGGACTATATTATTGTTGTAATAGGTTTTACTGTTTTAAAACACTAATATTTGTGTTTAGTGAAGTCTCCTGAGAATAACAGTATACCCCCATGTACAGGTTTTATGGTGTTTTGGAAAGTTAGAGAGCAACATATAAGGCTTGCATTTCATTTTTTTGACATTGAAATTTGCCAGATTGGTTATGTTGCCTTTGAGAGCGTATGGTAGCCCAGGAATGAGAATTACCCCCATGATGGCATACCATTTGCAAAAGTAGACAAACCAAGGTATTGCAAGTGGGGTATGTCCAGTCTTTCTTAGTAGCCACTTAGTCACAAACACTGGCCAAATATTAGTTCTTTGCTTTTTTTCACACAAAAACAAATATGAACACTAACTTTGGCCAGTGTTTGTGACTAAGTGGCTACTAAAAAAGACTAAACTACCCCACTTTCAATACCTTGGGTTGTCTACTTTTTCAAATGGTATGCCATTATGGGGGTAATTCTCATTCCTGGGCTACCACACCGTCTCAAAGGTAACATTACTAATCTGGCAAATTTCAATGTGAAAATGGAACCTTTTATATCTGACCCTGTAACTTTCCAAAACACCATAAAACCTGTTAATGGGGGGGTACTGTTGTACTCGTGAGACATCGCTGATTACAAATATATGCATTTTTTTGCAGTAAAACCTAACAGTATTATGACATTCACAGCTAAAACGTCAGACGGAAATACAAATTAAAAAAAAAAAAAATCTTATTATCTCACATTTTTTAAACTTTATTCATAATAAATTATGTTCCATATATGAATAGTTAATGATAAATTAAAGCCCTGTTTCTCCTGAACAAAATGATATATAATAAGTGTGGGGGCACTTAATGTGACAGCGGTGAATTACGGTTGAACAGACATATAGCGCAAATTCCAGTTTTTGTTTACGTTTTGTTTTGATCAGAACGTGCACTATTGACTCCGTCCTGAAGGGGTTAAGGGGTTAAAGAGGATATACACCAAATTTATATTTCATTTATTTTTTTATATTGATAAATATTTGTGAGCGCCTGTATTATCCACTTATTATTGTTATTGTTATCTATCTTTTAATTTGGGGTTTTGTGAAAGACATGAGTACCATTTGCACTATAGACTGTTTTTTTTTGTGTTTTGTATTTTTCTATGAGTTTCAACTCTGATCCCACCGGCAACAAATATATTGTAAGAAGGTAAGACACGTTCCACTTATAGTTATAAGTATTTCACTTATAATATCTGTTGTTGGATTGTATTTGGTGGTGTGGGTAGTAAGGTGTTGTTTGAGCTGCTTCTATTTTAAGGTTTGTTACACACTAAATTCTATATTCGCAATGTATGTGCTGTCTTTCATGCATTCTCTCAAATCATTGAAGAGGTCATGGTGCTTGTTGTAACACTTTGAGTACAGTAGTTGTTGTCTGGGAGCCACCTTGGTACATACCTGAAATTAATTTCTTCCACCCCTACAGTTGTTGCCATGTGTGGGAGATCACCGGCTCTCCCTAGCTGGCAGTAGTTATAGTGGCCCACTGGATATTTGCTCAGCTTTCAAATGGTCATTCTTGGTCTGGTGGTGAGTACTCCAATCACAGCATCTCTGTTATCTTCAGAGTCCTCGGGATCATGTCTGGTTAGAGGCACATAAGGCTATAATTCTTATAATGTTGAAATTGATGAAAACTAACAAAAACTATACAATGTGATTTAATGCTTTCTAGGTTCTATGTAAAAGTAAAGGTATTAAACATTGTATGTTATGAATTTGGGAATAGTTTTAAATCAAACACATTTTTTCATTAATCCATGTTTTTGAACAATAAACATAATCAATTTAATACACTTAATACATTTGCAGCAGAATACAAATGTTGATACAAAATTATTCCCAAGTTAATCAGATATATTTGCAAACTGGAGGATTGATTTGCAAGTGCTGTTGGACAAGACACTTAACGGATTAAAATAGATTTTTTTTTTTTCATTTTAATGTGTTCCCATTAATCACCATTACTGAAATTAATTGGAAATGAAGGATTCATCCGTAGCTTCCCTAAGGTAATATTTGTCAGACTGATATTTTTCATACATGACAGAAGCACACAAATATATTCAATCTGAAGAGCACATGGAAAGAATAAGCGCATTTCATTGGCCTTCACTTTTCAACCATAAAACTGAAAATTAGATGTCAGGGATGGTAAAATGTAGCAATTCATTTTGGACAATGATTCAAATTTCTTGTTTGTTATCTGTTCTTTGTTTGTACCCTTGGCAATGTCAAATCTATAATCATTTTCAGAATTCCATTCAAGTTCATATAACTATAGCTAAAGGTAATTTGTTTTCCCATACAAAGACATAAATACCATTCTACCCTATGCAAGGATGGAAACTTCTATGGCATTTGGAGAGCTGGCCATGAGGGCAACCTCACACCATTCTTCTGTGTATCTAAATTACAGGAGGTGTATTGGGATGTCTGTTAGCAAAATACTGCATGAGTGATGTAGCAGGCAGGATTTGTAGATGGACTGTTGCTAGTCCAGCACTATGGTATGGTGGTCCATCGCAATTTGTTCCAGGTTTGGAGTGGCCCACAGGAGGTGTTTAGAAGTGTCTGCAGGGTGAGATCAGACAGTGCTCTTATCATTCATTAAACATTGTTTGGTGGCGATAGAGGCATGAAAAACATAGTCTGTCTCTTAGGCATGCGCAGATCTCTATGAATGCTTCATTGTGATAAGCAGTTAATTAATAGGGGTGTGATGGTATTTATTAATGACTTTACATCATAAAGAAAGCATATTTAGTGTAATGCTTTGGGGGCACCACTAGGGGGAGTGTGTAGGAAGACATGTGCTTCTGGCAGTGACATCACAGGCCAGCCTACTTACACTGAATAAAACCAGATGGAGGAGAAAACTCTGTCTCTTTGCCTGTACCTGACTGAACCTAAGATGTAGTACCAGCTCTGACTTAACCCCAGCCAAAGGGCTGGGGCCTTGTAAGTAAAATGTTGTGTAACATGTAGCAACCTTTTGTAAGTAATATGTTGTAGTTTTGTATTGTATCATAATTGTAGTAAATTGACATTCTGCTGGCATCTGTTTATTTGTTATAGTTATATTAAATATACATTTAATATTACAACGTTTTGTGTATTTTCTATCCACATATTCGACCATAATACCATGAATTATAAAAATATTAATGTTGTTCCGTATTGCTTAATTATTATGTATTAAGAGATTAATATTCATATTTAGGTCACGACTACAACATTTGGCGTAGTCGGCAGGATTATGCTTATTGGGGAAAATATAAATGTTATGCATTTTGCTTAAATCATACTGTAAATTGTCTGTCTGTATACAAATGAATAAATGTAAATACGCAAACACAGGCATCTCAGAAGAAAACAGTGTATTATTAACGAACCACACTAACACCATTTAATGAGCCGATAGCTGAACACATGATACTAACTGCCACCCCAAATAGCCACTACATACCTGACAACAACGCCCTAACAACGCAATACCAAGCAAGCTCACCACCTTTTGCATGTCTAGCCCTGCAAGGCTTATAAATGCCTAATATTTGTCATTGCGTGTTTATTTTGACTTATACGCCTCTGCGCAGGCAACTATGTGTCACTCTGAGTTAACTGGAATATGTCGGCCTCACATTATATACACTTTCAATGTGCACGCCTCTGCGTAGGCAACTATATGCATGAATGATACCAAGTTCAACACCCGTGTTTATATTGCTGACAATAAACATATTTAAAACAAATGAATAAATGAATGATGATTTGGTTTTAATGGAATGAATGCAGATAGCAGGTAGGGATTAGATATTTGTTTTTTAAGGTATCCCTTGTTGTAGAACATAGTGATGAATTATTGTGTTGCTTGTTACGTTTTACCAACCTTTGGTCATTTTTATATATAAAACAAAAAACTATTTTACTTTTTGTCTGACCATGTGGATTTTAATCCACCATTGACCACATGGTGTGAATGAGTTGAGGCCTAGTTTCATTGTTTGCTACCATTTGCATAGGAAAAGACTTTTCACTAAACTAGTTCACCAGGTTTTATTGCTAAATCTGACCCTGTCTGTGTACTAATTTACATTTGTTTGGCATTCATGGATTTGTCTAGTTGAAAAGAGATTTGGACAAATGTATTAAATTAGTAGTTAAGAAAAAGATACGTTTAGTAAAGCAGATTCAGCGAATAATAGATTTATGTGTGCGTATGCACAGAATATTAGTATAAATATATATATGATTTTGACTCATGAAGGAGAGACCACCTTTTTAACAGCTGTGTGACCATGCTTTTCAGCTACAGCTGGGGGAGAATTTGTCCTTGTTGGGGGTGGGTAGTCTTGCCTGTATGAGAAAAAATAAACTGCATTGTTTTGTAAATGTAATTGCCTAAACTAATCAATTTGTGGAGTGTTTTTCAGCTTTATTATCCAGGACTAAGGAATTACTGGACATATGCAGGAACTGGTAACAAATGAACTGAAAAAATGGTAAAATAATTCCTTTGTCCTATTTAGTCTGAATATTTTAACAAGTTAGCATTTTTAACAAAGTAAGTGTAGGGGCTCAGATTAAGATTTATATTATTTTAGAAGCCATCTATAACTGATTTTAATATTTCCATGCTTTGAATTAGGGTGTATCTGCCTAGCGGGTGAACCTCCATAACGTGGGCTGTGATTTTAGTTACAGTAGCGGGTGGGGAACCTGAGCTAGGGGGTATTTAAACGTGTCCGGATAAGGGGGAGCATACCCAATAGTTGTTGTGCAGTTCTATCCTGTATTATTATTTGAAACCCTGTATTACTTATAAGTAGCGTTTTGTAACTTATTTGTAATTGTTTATATATATTGCTCTGGGAAAGGGATAGGCAAAATCTCTGAGAGACCAGGAAATATATTTTTAAAAAAGGGCGTATTACACTAGTGGTAGGGTGGCCTATCATGACCATAGAGACCCTTGGTGACTAGTTTTTGTTGTATATTGCCCTGGAAAGGGGATACGCTATTTAATAGAAATTCCTGAGAGACCAGGAAATATACAATAAGTGATACGTGAGTGTACTGGTTAAATTGCAGACATATTGGCCCAGAACCTTTAATCGAGCCAGAAAAGAGGCTGCTGTATGTTTGCTCCTCTATAATTTTGCGGGGGCGGTCACCCCCATGCGGAAAGCCACTGCCATCACAGGGTGGTTAGTTGTGCAGGCCCTTAGCCGCGAGGTGCAAGCATGTCCGTGGAAAGGCTAGAAATTAATAGGGAGTCACTCATAGCTGTCAGAAGTGTTGAACTTTGAGACATATTGACCTATATCCTTTCAGAGGCGGAAGAGGTGTTGTGGTTCACTCCTCTATAATTTAACCAAAGGGTGGAGAGTTATTAAACATGTTTAGGTTGGCTAGAAATGTGTTTCCTGAATTGCAGAGAAGATGCAGAAAGCAGCTATTAGCTTATTGTTTTTTTAAGAGCCTTGTAAAAAAAAAAAAAATAAGAAAGTGTTTACATGTCTGTGTGTGTGTGTGTATATATATATATATATATATATATATATATATATATTCTAAGTAAAATATTTGCAGTATACGCTATAAGTGACTAGGAAAGTAATCCTGATCTGTTTCCTAACCTTTTCAGATGTAGCAGAAACCAGAGGTGGACATTGGAACACAGATAGAATATCAGATGGAGACCAGTGTTTAAATGTTGACCTTTGATGAGCTATTGAATGTTTTATTTTATTGTCTATTTAACATGTCTATGCTATGATTTTGTGCATACTATTCTCTTATTTCTAGTGGTTGTATTGCAATTGAAACCCTTATGTATTATTGTTGTATGTATGTATGTATGTATGTATGCTTGCCTGGGAAAGGGGGGAATTGACCCATAGGGACCAGGGGGTATTTTTGTGTAAACCAAACTGGGGTGGGAGGGCTCTAACGAGGGAACCCCATTGTCCAGTAGGTGCTTGATTTGTGTCTGTGTAAAGTGCATGAGTGGTTGCAGTTCAAAAAAAAAAAAAACAGAAGAATGATAAGAGGGATAAGAGAAAGTAGGCATTTTGGGTTATCTATACATGTTTAAATAGAAGGGTGGTAAATAGGAATGTAATTGTTTTGGTTAATGTTTAGATTAAATTGGTTAAATGCAGCAGTGATAACGAGTGTTTAGATTAAATTGGTAAATGCAGCAGTAATAACGAGTGTTTGGGTTAAATTGGTAGATACAGCAGTGATATTGTGTTTATCTGTGAATCAGGAGTGTGCTGGATGTGAAGAGAGGTGTGTAGGTATTTATCCAAACGCCATAGGAAAAAATATGGTTAAGACACCACAATCAAATGGTACTTGTGATGATTGGCACAGTTATTATTTATGTTTGTGTTCGTCATTGCCTGTGTTTTCATTCAAGAACTTTCAAGCAAGGATATTTTAAGCAGAAGAAGAAGAAGCACTGGACACTATGCTCAACTGTTGCTGTAAGGAGAAAAAATATTGCAGCTAAGAGTGGTGAGAGTCGGAACAAAATGCATCAGGAGCAGGAAACTGTTACGTCAAGGTGGTTAATGGTATAAAGAAAGAAAAAACAAAACAATGTGACCACAAACACACAAAAGTCCTTGATCACATGAACTGTTTCATTCATCCCTGTCTCCATGCGTATGTTCTATAAGAATGTCGAAGAATAGAGTATCCAGTTTCCAGGACTAATGTTTGTGAAAATTCCAGGCACACAGACCAGCCAGAGGCTACAGAAATCGAGTCGGTCTGTGCCATGATTCATAGGTGTTATGAGTTTGTGGTGTCTAATACTATAATAAGCTCCAAAACACATCCTCACATGAACACAATATCATTGGTTAATCTAATAAAACATGGTTTGAGTTGTTCATTATTATAAGGGTGGGTATGTGCCTATTTTCCAACTGGTAATGCATGTGCTCAATGGTGAACATTTATATAAGCAATAAAATGTTAATGGGTAATAATTAATGGGTAAATGGGTATCGTTCTTCAAAAGGTGGGTTTTGTTGTAGGGCAGGTAGTGTTAAAATGGGGAAGATTCACAATTTACTGGTTTTATAAATGCTTGTTTTATGACATAAGTCAAAGGGTGGTTTGTAATGGTATTTATTAATTAATGACTTTACATCATAAAGAAAGCATATTTAGTGTAATGCTTTGGGGGCACCACTAGGGGGAGTGTGTAGGAAGACATGTGCTTCTGGCAGTGACATCACAGGCCAGCCTACTTACACTGAATAAAAACCAGATGGAGGAGAAAACTCTGTCTCTTTGCCTGTACCTGACTGAACCTAAGATGTAGTACCAGCTCTGACTTAACCCCAGCCAAAGGGCTGGGGCCTTGTAAGTAAAATGTTGTGTAACATGTAGCAACCTTTTGTAAGTAATATGTTGTAGTTTTGT